CTTGTTTTCTCATTTTCCCTCTCTCTCTCTCTCTCTCTCTTTGGTGAGCATGTGTGCCTTATAGCAAATTTTAAAAAATAATGATAAATAAAATTTAAAATAAATAATTCTTTAAAATATATATATGTATGTATAACTTAAATACGATGGTCAATAACGTTGACAGGCATGTGGTAGCTGCTTAGTAAGTGATAGCCGATAGTAGAGGATCTTCTGGAAAGGAGTGCCTATTTGCTTCTCAAGCCGGAAGCTCCTCCTGGCAGGAGGGGCTTCTTATAATGTGTTTTCTTATAATGTGCTCAATTGTTTGTGTCTGGGCTCATTCCATGCCCTCCCCTCAGACTCACCAATGAGGTCTGTCTGGAAGAGCGCCTCAGGGCACAAGAAACGTTCCTGCCCAAGACTGATCTCCTGGCCATCAGGCAGCTGATACTTCTGTGGGTGAGGAGGCTGGTGGATATTTGCCTTTTCCTCATCAAAGTCCAAAGCCACATAGCAGCATTTCTCTTTCATGTCCCTGATGTACTCTTGGTCACCTATAGGATAAAGGAAAAAGTCTCAAGTAGAAAAGATATGAACGCAAGGTGAGTTCACAGAAGTTCCTGTGGTGAAGCCGAGACTGCACGACTTAGCTGCTGGTCCCATGTCCATCTCAACTCTTGGGTTTCTTCATGTATGCCATGTGTTGGGGGCCTGGGTTTGCTGGAGAGAAGAGTAGAGCAGAAATGTCCTAAACTGATGTGCAAAGACTTTGGCATTTTCAGCATATTCTATGTCAGGGTCCTACTGGATAAGTTGCATGTTTTGGAGGGGCTGGGAAACCAAACTCAACTGTATAATCCAACGCTTTAGGAGATGTTACTATACCCAGGAGTATTCTAGGAGTGGTAGGTGACTGCTAACCTCTCCAGAGAATTGCTCTTGGTCAGTCGAAATTCCTTGCCAGGAAATATTTCAAAGGTCATACTCCTCCTCTCTTTGGGTGGCTGGCAACAGGTTTTAAATCTGGCAGTCTTTTGTTGTAATGGCTTTATATTTTCTCTCTCATTGTCTTGAAGTTTGGGTCAGAAAGAATCCCCTGCACTGCTCAGCTGGAAATCCCACTTGCTTTTCAGCCTACTAGCATCTGACTTCTACCTTCCCTCGCTCCTCCTGGATCACTTTCACCTATGTCTACTGGTTCCAAAACTCTGCAAACACACTTCAGTTCTTTTCTGACTTCTTTCTCTCCAGCAGTTAATTCGTTAATTGCTTTCTTCTCTTTCTTTGGCTTCTGGGTTACTTCACTCTTCTGATATGTCCCCCTTCTTCAATTAGTTTGGGCTTTGGTGAGACAAATCTGAGTTCAAATCCTGCCTCTGACATTTACCAAATGCCTGACTTATGGTAACTCCGTTATTCACATAAACCTTCCCTTTCGTCACGTACAAGAATGGGATTAATCTCCACATAGAACTTCTGTAAGGACAAGATGGAATAATGCACAAAAAGATCTTACTAAGTGTGAGGTGCCAATATACTATGCCTTTGCTCCAACTAATCCTTCTCACTTTCCCTCTAATTACTATTATTCTTTAGTGTCCCATACTGTTCTTGGCTTTTAACACATACCTCTTGCTTGAGAAGATCAGAAAGGTGAATGCGGAATTGTAGGCTTGTTGAGAATGGATGTCATGCCAGTTATACAGGATGGGAATCTAGTCCAGGAAAAGTGTACAAAGTAGAATGGGCAATGTGTCATCTGGAGTCATTGGGTTCACAGCTGCTATACCTATACTTAGGGGATGTTGACCAAATCTCCTGATCTTTCTAAGCCTCTTCTTACAATGGAAAGAATTGTTCTCTCTCATAGGATTGCAGCAAGAAGCAATAAGGGATGTATGTATAATATTTACTTGGCCTAGTGCCTTGCAAAGGGCAACTTCTCTGGAAAGCTTTGCTCATTATCATTATAACCCAATACCATCATCATCACCACCATTATCATCATCACTCTTATCATAATCATCAAGCCACTAACTATCCCTAAATATACATAGGGGGTTTTTTGTAGAACTTGGATGAAGTAGCCTCAGCTTTACACATTGAGGGCTGTAGTTTGAGCAACCCAAGAAGACTATCACACTTCAGGGACTAGTTTACCTGAATGAGAATAGTAATTTCCTACCTGTGCTCACCAGTGAGTGCCCACTGTGTGTCAACAGTTGCAGAAGGTGCAAGGTTAGGTCTTGGCCTGCTATGTCCATCTGCATGGTCGATTGGTGCAAAGGACAGCCGTCAATGATGGGCACAAAGTATGTTATTCCTTCTCCAGATTCGACAGTCATTCCTAGATAAGAGAACATGCTGGCATCATAATCCAGGGCACATAACATCCCTTATTATTAAATCTGCAGAGAGAGGAGGTAGAGGGGGAATCATTGCAGGGGAAGACAGAGGGTCTCAGGGGCAAGCTTTCTTCCCCTAAAGAAGACTATACTAGGATGAAAAAAAGGCTGACTCTTTGAATGGAAGTGTGTAGGTTTTCTTATTAAACCAGACATGCAGGTATTACCAGTAGTTGCCAAAGAGGCGAAAGAGGAAGAATATCATGATCTTAACATTTTTTTCTATGAAGAGCAGTCTGGTATTGATGTGGCACTGGGGTTCTCTGAGTGACTCCTGAGTGTCAGGAGCGTTTGAATACAATGGAGGAGGCATGCGTTTTATTAGGAGGGAGCATGATCCTCTCTGTCAGTCCATAGGAATGCATGACTGCACCTTGTATGACATAGTGCGTTCTGGAGGTGTTCAGAGCTGATCAGGAGTCTGGGGAGTTGCCTCCTTTCACCTATTGATTCTAGTAATCAAGAACTTCAAGTTCTTGAGGGTAAGTCAAGAGGATTTCCACTTTTAAATAAGTTGGGGAACAGGATTCCCCCTCCTAACCGGAACAACTAAAGAAGAAGACAAAATACATGTTCATGATATTGGCCATAAGGATCATAAGGATATTGGGCAAAATACGTGTTCATGATATTAGACATAAGGTCACAAAGTCCAGTGATCCCTGAGAGCTAGGACTCTACAAGAAAAGAAAATGGCAAGTCCCTGAAAATTGGCTTTGTTGGAGAGAGTAGAATAGTGATTACTAGAGGCTGGGAAAGGTAGTGGGGAGGGAAATGCTGGTTAATGAATATAAATTGTAGTTAGACAATTAGAAATTAGTTCCAGTGTTCTGTAGTACAGTAAGGTGACTGACTGCAGTTAATAATAATTTATTCTATAGTTCAAGATAGCTGGAAGAGAGGATTTTAAATTCTCCCAACACAAAATAATGACAAGTGGTTGCAGTGATGGATATGCAAATTATCATAACATGTTGCATTCATGTACCACCATACTGTATCCCATAAATATGTACAGTCATCGTGGCAATTAAAAATAATTGTTAGAGGCCAGCAGGTGGCATGATGGTTAAGGTGCTAGATTCCCACATGGCCAACTGTGGTTTGAGTCCTGGACCTGGAGGATTGACAATCATAACAGGTGCATGTGCACAGGAGTTTAAAACCCTGGGAGGAGAATGGAGGAGAAGTGACTGTGGCACGGCTATTCCCCTGGAAGGTGATTTTTCACCTTCCCTCTCTGTCTCTCTCCAGTGAGCACATGAGTTCTACAGCAAAGACCAAATATATATATATATATACACACATATATATATATACACACACACACACACACACACACATATATTTTTAAGCGATTGGCTATTGTCGCTTATGAACATAGACACAAAACTCTGCAACAAAATTTTGGCAATTGAATCCAACAATATATAAAAAGGATAATATTTTATGACCAATATGATTGCCTCAAATTGATAAAGAAATCTGTGAAAAAATCTATAGCCACCATAGTATTTAATGCTGTAAGACTCAAAGATTTCTAAGATCGGGAAAAAACAAAGAAAGATGTTTGTTCTGCCACCCAATTTGGTACTGTACTGGGGAGTCTTGTGCAACCAGGCAAGAAAAAATTGTTAAAGCATCCAGTTTGGAAACAATGAAGTAAAACTTTATGTGTAAGCAATATGATTGCCTAAATAGTAAATCTTCTGAAGTCTACAAAAAGCTACTAGAATTAATAAACGAATTTATTTAGAATATCAGGGTACAATATCAATATGCTAAAATCTATTTTAGTTCTATCTACTAACAATAAACAACAAGAAATTGACATAAAAATACTTCATACAATAGCATCAGTGTGTAAAACACTTAGAAATAGATCTGACCAAATATGTTCATGACCTGTACACTGTGTACAAAACATTGGCAAGAGAAATTAAAGAAAACCTAACAGATACACAGTATTCAGTAATTGGAAGACTAATTTTTTTATCATATAAAATTTATTTATTTATTTTCGTTTTTGCTATAGGGCACATGTGTTCACCAGAGACAGAGAAAGAGAGGGAAAGAAGGAAAGTGAGATTTCACTCCCATGTGGAATGACCACACCACAATCCCTTCTCCTCCGTGGAATGACCACACCACAATCCCTTCTCCCACTCTCTTTTTGGGATTTTGAGCATGCACACATATGCCTGGCATGATTTTCAAGCTGCCAGGTCTGGGATTTGAACCACACAGCTGGTCATATGGAATTCAGTGCCTTAACTTCCAAGCAATCTACTGGCCCCAGGAAGACTATTTTTAAGATGTCATTTCTCCTGAGACTGATCTGTACATTCAACGAGATTCCATTCAAAATCCAAAGATTTTTGGTTGTTATTTTTTCTTAGTTGACACTAATTCTAAAATTTACATGGACTAGGACCAGCAAATGGCATAATAGTTACATTGCTGAACTCCCACATAGTCAACCATGGTTCAAATCCTGGACCCAGTGGCTTAAAACTCACGCCGAACACATCTTTCACTATTAACAAACATCAACTCAAAATGGATCAAAGATCTGAACCTAAGACCTCAAACTATAAAAATACTAGTGGAAAACACTGGGGAAACCCTGAGAGACATTGGGGTAGGCAAAGACTTCTTAAATAAGACTCAAAGCGTAGTCGATAATCCCTAAAATAGACAAGTGGGATTATATCAGATTAAGAAGTTTCTGCACAGCAAAAGACACAGTAATTAGTGTGAATTGACAACTTTCAGAAAGGGAGAATGTTTTTGTAAACTATGCCTCAGACAAGGGACTGATAACTGGAGTACGCAGGGAATTCAAGTGGCTTTCCCAGAAAAAAAAAAAAAAAAGATTAACCCAATTAAAAGATGGGAAAATGAGTTGAACAAAAATCTCTCTAAGGAAGACATACGAACAGCCAAAAAGCATATGAGGAAATGCTCAACATCCCTTATCATAAGGGAGATGCAGATTAAAACCACAGTGAGATACCACCTAACCTTTGTCAAAATGGTGACAATTAAAAATACAAAAATAATATGTGTTGGCGGGGTTGTGGTGAAAGGGGAACCCTCCTACACTATTGGTAGGAATGTAAATTGGTCCAGCCACTGTGGAAAACAATATGGAGGTTCCTCAAAGATCTACAAATAGAACTACCATTCGATCCAGCAATTCCACTTCTGGGTATCTACCCAAAGGACAGGAGAATGCTCAGTTGGAAAAGTGCTTGCACATCAATGTTTACTGAGGCATTATTCACGATTGCTAAAACATGGAACCAACCCAAATGTCCATAAACAGATGAATGGATTAAAAAACTATGCCACATATACTCTATGGAATACTATTCAACCATAAAAAAAAAACAAGACCCTAGCATTTGATAAAAAGTGGTTGAATATGGAAGATTTATTGCTGAATGAAGCAAGCCAGGCGATGAAAGAAAGATATTGTATGTCTCCACTTAATATGTACTGACTATCCACACTATGGTAGAGGTTGAAACAATAGAGTACATAAAAGCAGTTAAAATAATTATGGATACTGGAGACAGTGTTGTGGGTGGAGGGAGAAGGGAAGAGTATAGGGAAGGAAATTAGAAAGAAAAAATCAAGAGGCATGACATTTGTAGGACACAGAAATGGTTTATTACCTGTTAATGATAACGTGTATAAAATTCACAAATGGACTGGTCTGAGAAGTATTTCATGTTGGGTAAAGTCTCTTTACAAGCCAAATGATGTATAGCAATCAAATGTTTAAATAATAAAAATAAATCTTTAAATATAAAATGATAAAGAAAAAAAAAAACACTCACACTGGATGTGTGTGCATACATGCCCAAAATCCCAAGAGTAAGGTGGAGAAGGGATTGTGGGGTGGTCATGCCCCCGGGGAGTGATTTCTTGCTTTCTGTCTCTCTGTCTCTCGGGCGAGTGTACATATCCTATAGCAAAATCTCTCTCTAAAAAAATGTTTTAAAAACATTCACATGGATATTCAAAAAGCCTAGAATGATAAAAACGTTTTCAAAGAGAGGAGACCAGGATCAGATGGTGATACAGTGGTGAAAGGTGACACTGCAAGGCTGACCCACATGAGAACTTCAAGGGATCTCCCTAAATACAGTGAAAATGTCTGGGCCCATGATCCATGGCTGGCTGAGGTTGGGGGTACGTTTCCATGTTAGAACTCTGTTGGGGGTGCTGTCTTTCTGTCTCTGTGTCTCTCATTGTCTTTTCTTCTCATAAAAGAAATAAATACACATAAAATAAAGAAACACAAAAACAGAAGACCAAAGTGGTAGTGCTAGCATTTCCTTATTTCAAGTCTTTCTTTCTTTCTTTCTTTCTTTCTTTCTTTTCTTTTCTTTAAGAGGTTTTTGCCATAGGGCACATGCACTCATCAGAGAGAGAGAAAGTAAGAAATAACCCCTCACCCAAGGGGGATGGTCACTCTACAATCCCTTCTCCTCCATTCTCCTCCTGGGATCTTGAGCACACATGCACACACGCCCAGCGAAAGTATCAAGACACCGGGTCTGGGACTCAAACTGTGATTGACCATGTGGGAGTCCAGCAATGTAACCACTACACCATCTGCTGGTCCCTCAAGACTTTCTATAAAACTTTGATAACCAAGAATGTGGTATCACCCTATAGTTAGCAAAACAGATTGGTAAGACAGGAGAGAGCACAGAAGTAGACCTACATGTATGTGGACAACTGATTTTCAAAACCATGCAAAGGTAATTAATTCAGTGAAGAAAGAGCAATATTTTAATAAATAATATGGGAACCATAGGATATCTACACACACATGCTTCATTCATAATATCAAATCTATTCAAATTGAATCAAAGGGTTGAATATCAAATTAAAATCTATAAAACTTTCAGAAGAAAACATAGCAGAAACTCTTTGGTTTGCCAACTCCAAAAGCATGATACACACACACACACACACACACACACTTCATAAATTGGACAGCATGGAAATTAAATACTTCTACTTCTCAAATGATATTGTGAAGAGAATGTAAAGTGAAGTTGTAGACAGACTGGGTGTCTGCAAAACATACATCTGATAAAAGACTTGTATCTAGGATATAAAAAGAATCCTCAAAACACAAAGATGAATAACTCCATGAAAAATCGGGTAGAACATTTGAAGAGACACTTCACTGAAGTGGATATAGGAACGGCAAACACATGAAAAAAATGTTCAACATCATTGGTCTTTAGAGAAATATAAATTAGAACTATATTGAGATACTACTGCACACCTACTATTCAGTTGTCAGAAAAGTCATGATGTATTTTTCTATGTTCTATGTTTTTCAAAAATGTGTCATGACTTTTCTGACAACCCAATAGAATGGCTAAAACTAAAAAGATTGACCATACCAAGTGATACCTACAAGAATGGTTAAAACTAAGAAAGACTCTCCATATCAAGTGTTGACAAAGGTGTAGAGGAACTGGAACTCTTGCACAGCTGATGGGAATGTAAAATAATGTAACTACTTTAGCAACAAGTTTGGTAAAATTTTAAAAAGTTAAACATATGCCTATTATATGGCCCAGTCATTTCACTCCCAGGTCTTTACCCAAACAAAAGCAAAGCATATATCCATGCAAAAACTTGCACATAAATTATAATAGCTCCAACTACAGAAAAAATCTACATCCATTCATAGGTGAACAAAGTGTGGTGCTTTTGTACAATGAAATACAGTTCATCAATAAAAACAAGTGACCTGGGGCCTGTAGGTAGCATGGTAGTTAAGGAACTAGACTCCCACATGACCATCTGGGCGTGGTTCAAGTCCCAGACCTAGTAGCTTGAAAGTCATGCAGGGTACATATGCATGCCCTAAATCCTGAAAGGAGACCAGAGGAGAAGGGATTACAGTGTGATCATCCCTTTTGGAGGGTGATTTTTCACTTTCCATCTCACAGTTCTCTCTCCAGCGAGTGCACACTCCCAATGGCAAAAAACGTTTAAGAAGAGAGAGAGAGAGAAAGAGAGAGAGACAGAAGGAAGGAAGGAAGGAAGGAAGGAAGGAAGGAAGGAAGGAAGGAAGGAAGGAAG